TATATAATTTGCAGTCACCTCATCCTGGCACTGAGGCCTACATGGGCCCTAACCCCTAACTTATCATTTTAAGCTCTCCTCCCTTACCACCCAATCTCCAAGTAGAGAAGCTAAGGGGGGATGTGAGTGGGTCTCCTTCTGACCTGGGATTATGCCCCATCATGCCTTTCTCCTGACCCTTATGCCCTTAAGTGCTACCTCTTTCATCTGTCAGTATCGTTCTGTCCTCCAGAGCCCAATGTGGCTCCCACCTCCTCTTAGCCTTCCCTGGACAGTTTGCCACCTTCCCTCTTCCTGGTATTCTGGCTTGGGTTATGGAGGTTCATGTCATGTTCTTATTGTAATCATCCTAATGTCCCCTATCCCCTATATTTCCCAGCAGAAGGTCTAGGCATTAAGCAAAAGGAAGAGAGAGAGTAAGAGAAGGGATGGAAGGGTGTGATGACCTTGAACGGTTATTTGACCTTGTCCATGGGGGATGCCATTGAGTGTTGCTGGTAAGAGAAGCAGAGGAAGGAGTGCTTTGAAGAGTGGGTGAAGGGAAGGCAGCCCCATTACACGAACCCCATCTTGTCCCCAACTTTCACACCCCAATGGGCCCTCCCTATCCTATGTGGCAAGATGCCAGAGCTAAGATGAGAATGACAGCTGCCCAGTTTTGCTGCAGGAAAACCCGTACTTAATGCTGAAGGGGAACCACCAGGAGATGGAAGGCAATGACCGCTACGAAGGCTTCTGCGTGGACATGCTCAAGGAGCTGGCTGAGATCCTCCGGTTCAACTACAAGATACGCCTGGTCGGGGATGGTGTGTACGGTGTGCCGGAGGCCAATGGCACCTGGACGGGCATGGTCGGGGAGCTGATTGCTCGGGTAAGAGTAGGCATGATCTGCATGTGGATGGGTGGGGGGCGATGGAAGGGTGTACGGTTGTGCTGCGTGTTCATTGAGGCTTGCAGTGACGCGCTCTCTCATTCATACCTCTTTCATTCATTTGTCCCTTTATTTCATAAAACTAGGGAGCTGGCATGGAGCCAGGCACTGGGGCTGTGATAAATGAGACCCCTGAGACCCCTGCCCCGTGGCCCTCCCAGTCCTGCCCTGGAATAAACCATTGGCTTGGCTTGGACCCATTACCATGGATGCAGGAGTGTAGCTTCTGTTTTTGGATAATCCAGATGCTTTATTAAATTTATTCTGATGGTTTTGCTGCTCACCACCACCACCACCCTGCACCGGCAGAGCTTGGACGGGCCTGGGAAGGTAGACAACATCTACATCCACTGTCTTTGATACTTGAGAGACACTGTCAAGGGATACATGATTAAATAACAGGGGAAAGGGATGACTGTCAGAGGCACTGGTTACAGTGGTGGTTACTTTGTTACTTCCTGTACCTCCCGCTGCTGTCACTGCTGTCCTTCTATAGACTGAGGGTCAAGGTGCTCTTGGATGCGCTGCAGGTTTCCAGGGTGTATGTGGAGACTTGATTGAAATGCAGGTGAGCATCTGAGAATGTCAGTCTTCCGTCAGGTTAGAACAAAGGTGTAGAAAGTTCTTCTAGAGGGAAATCTCTTGTTTTCTTTGTACACACTATTACCAACTGCAAAAATTAATTAAATCCTCACTAATTCACTGTCCGTGTTTCGCCAGCTTAGTTCTGATGATTGGAACAGGTGATGGAGTTGCTGCGTGGAGAGCGCAGGCTTGGTCCTTTGTGTGGCCTTGCACTAGCCTCCTTCTCCATGTGCCCTCAAGGGCAGAGGAGCAGAGGGGCTCCGGCGGCCTCCCAGCCTCCTGATGTACACAGAGCTTTCCAAGCATGGTCCCTAATCCTCTGGCCACTTGTTATCCCCCCTCCTTATAAATGAGCAGTCTGAGGCTCACAGAGCTTAATGGCTTGTCCAGAGTCATGCAGTTAATATGAGACAAGGCTGGGATTGAAGCCCAGATCCCTTTATTTCTTGAATTGCAATCACATGCTGTGTAATGATGTTTAGGTTAACAACGACCTGCGTATATGACAGTGGTTTCGTAGATTGCATTGCCTAGGGATGCTATTGCCGTCTTACTTTGTGTGCATACACTCTGCCCCACAGCAGCACCGCCCTCCAACTCATTTTTCGGAACATATCCTCATTGTTCAGCAACCTCTGACGATAAGATGATTTTAATGCCTTCTATGTACCAAATTTGGAATTTGAGATAACATTCTAAAATCCCAGTCTTTGAGAATACAAATAGTAGTTGGAGTTTAAATGAGCATTCCCTGACAGTGCGCTGGAAAAGGCTCTGCATAGAGGAGAGCAGTGGGAGAGATGTTGGAGAGCTGAGGAGGGAGGATGTATAGGGGCTTCCCAGTGGCCCATATGGCATCTGCGTGACACTGAGGGGGTAAAATAGCAAGCCTTGTGCATGGAATTGCAAAGTGTGTGGGGTGACCAGCGTCCAAAGGGGGCTGGCTCAGAAGGAGGGCCTGCTTGCAAAGGAGGCTGCAAATGCAGCTGGTAAGTCAACAGGAGGCCTAGGGAACCTGGGAAGGACCTGGCAGCTGGTAGGGTCAGGGTCAAGGCTGCAGTAGGGGCCCCTTGTTGTCTGAGACTGGAGCACACCTCATGGTGCCGCATGCACTTCTGGAGAAAAGGATCTGCTGCTTTTCTCTGTGTCCCAGTCTCCTCCTACAGCACTCTTCCTGGTGGGGTCCCACCATGAAGGCTCAGCTAGGAAGTTAGCCACAGGAATCGGAACTGCCAGGCATTCCTTATCTTATCACCACTAGGTCACCTTGAGCCTGGTTCTCCAGTACGCACTGGCTGCCTGGTGCCTGGTAGGGTGACTTTAGGGATGGTGGAGTCAGTGCACAGTCATGTCCTTATTAGCCCCCTAATGAGCTGTGACAGGGGCTGGCAGGAGAGGGAAAGGAGCCCAGGACTCAAGGACATGCAGTTACATACTGAGTGACTTGGGCAATCAGACAAGGATGTTAAAATTCACCCCCAGCTCATCTTTCAAGCAAAACCATGGCTGCCTTGATCTCAGAGCTCATTAGAACTTGGAGATATGGTACTAATTAACTGATTAATAACTACTTATTGAATGTTTTCTATTCTTCTAGAGTTAAATGGGGGAAAAGTAAACATGGACCCTGTTCTCAGGACTTTTTCATCCTAGGAAGCAGGACAGTAATGATTGTATTTATATGCAGTTACAAACTCTGTTATGTGCAAAAGTGGCAGAGTGTAGGAGTTACTAGAGCATAGAGTGAGAGGGTCCCTTCTGGAGAGGTGAACCCTGAGGAGGGAAGGCTTCCCTTCAGAAGAGGATGGTTGGGCTGCTTTCTGCAAAGTGGGTAGGAGCTACCTGGGCAAGAGGGAACAGCCTGTCACACTGAAGCCTGTACAAGCACCACTGGGGTTGGCCCTGGCAGGTATGTGATGCCCCAGCTTCCCTTGGTGAGACTTCAATATCTGCCAAAGTGTTTCTCTAGGACTATCATGGTCCTGGGCCTGGATCCATCCTCTAGGACCCATTCTCTAGGCTGTGCTAGAAACTTCTCGCAGAGTAATAGTGGAGGGGCCCTCATGAGACAGTGGGAGTGGCTGAATGTCCACAGTGGACAAGGCTTTAGAGGTCAACACATTGAAGTCTTCCCCTTATGCAGATGAGGAATTGGAGACTCAGAGGGGCTAAATGACCTGACACAGTTCATGAGCTGTAAGTTCAGTTTGGGTCTGCCGACTTCAGGACTCATGACCTGAGAGAACATGAATCCTGACTTTAAACAGACCTAGGCTAACATATCAATGTGGCACGCACTAGCTGCATGTTCTTAGGCAAATTATTCCATCCTTCCTGCCTGTCCACTCAAGGCTGCATTGTTCAACTGCAGATAACTTTTTGTAAAGACTTCAAGTGATAGTCACACACAACAGGGTATTTGGCACTAGGGAAGTGTAAGAATTGTCTTGAGTTGGACTTCCTGGAAAACAGGTCAAGGCCAAAGTTTACACGCTAAGGCAGGGTTAGCAATCCAAAGGAGATGTGTGAAGAGAATGATTGGCAAGGGGCAGAGCACGTGAGCAACAGTGTGTTAGGTGCTGCCCCGAAAGATGTACCAAGCACATCTGATTATTCAGTCTGCAGAGGCCCAATGAAATGATTGGCTTGCCTTGCGGTCCACAGCATGGAAGGAGACTTGTATCTGTGAGTTGCTTCTCGTATTGGCTGAATTTCATGCTTCAGGGCATCGCTTTCTCACTCTTCTGAGCCATGCAGCATAATCCTCTGGTACTTTCCAAAACATTGGGGCCCAAGGCAACAAGGACAGGGCTGGAAGTACAAGGATGATCCTGAAGGTAAATTCAGTGGGTGGGTATAGCTGCACCCTGCCTGGCCTGGACAAACCCAACCAGTGATCAAGTCCTGCACATGCTCACATCCTAGCAGAAGCGAGATAAGGCAACATGACAGGTTAGCGAGAACAAATACAGCGGGTCGGGCCAGCTACAAGGATGAGGTGTCATGATGACACAACCCCAGCCACCCCAGGGACAGAGCCTGCTGAGCCCTCCCTGCAGTGAGCATGGAGTCTTTTCTCCTTGGCTTGATGGAAAACAGTTGGTGCTGAACCATCTTCCCATGGGGTTACTTGGCCTGTTGAGAGGAAATCCTCCCATCCTAGCAAACCCAAAGATTAAAACAAGCTGGCATGGTCCACAAGTGACCATTGTCAAGCCCTTTCAGATATATCAGGCTATTCTCAGTGTCCCTCTTCTTGTTTATGGTTCTATGTTCTGCAAAGAATAAAATGAAGTCAATAGCTGTCAGCGAAAACCACTGTTGGCGTTGCACTGGGGCAATTCTGAGTTGTCTTCTTAGGGGCCCAGGAGCCAGAGCCAGGCTCAGGCGGCTCCTTGGGGGCCTCATTCAGGTGGCACATGTGGCACTTAGGAGTGGAGAGGATGTGCCAGTGTGGGCATGCTCAGGGCTCTCTCTCCCTGGGTCCATTGGATAGAGCCAGGACAGTGCAGCTGAGACTGTAGCAACAGGGATAAGGGCTTGATGTCAAGGAGAACCACCACCGAGGGGCTTGGAGCTGACCACCAGATCTCTGCTTTGGAGAGTTTCAAGAAAATCACAGCTGCTTGTATGTCAGAGTAACATGAAGTCAAGAGAGGCACAGGGCTGTCCTAAGGGAAAGGCCTTGCGCTTTAATCTGTTATGATCCGCACACTGTTGGGAGGGACAGATCCACAGGAGTCCTGGAAGAGCACCCATGCCTGTTCCCCACATGCACATAAAGACCATCAGGGCAAACCTTTGGTGTAAGCCACTTTCCCGTGTAAGGGAGGAGGGTAGGTGGGCCAAAGCAAGTGAATTCACGTGAAAGGGGCCAGGTGGGCACCCATTCCCTCCTGGGGCTGTGTCTGAGTAAGGGAGAGGAGGACAGCTGCTTGGGAGGCTCAGATTGGGATTCACTTTGTTCTGGTCACAATGGCACTGCTTGGGGGAAAGGAAAGCACATCCAGGAGGTGGAGGCCCCAGCCAGCTTCACAGCTCACGACAGAGTAAGCTCCATAATAGTAGTGGGCTATCCATAGGACCGGCAATGTCAGAAGCTGAATTCATGCACCTACAATATTTAAATGACAATAGAATACCCATCTCTGACAAAACTAAACAAAAAAGGGGATACAAACGAAGGACCATTTTGTATCTGTATATTCAAAATAGGATAGATATACAGCTACGTTCTCTTAATTCAATGAGAAGAAAGATTTGTACTAACAGTGTTTGTGGACAGAATATCATGTCTGCATCTTGTACTATGAATAACTACTACGAAGACAATATGCAATGCATTAATTACTGAA